ATTTTTTTAGAAAAGAAAAAACATTGGTTAATCTTTAAAACCTTTCTTGAGTAAAGAACATCTCGTACACAATTACAATAACTTAAGTTGGGTAAGAAAAATTACTAAATTAAAAGGTTATGGTGCTCTAAAGGCTACTAAAATTCAAAAGACTAACTTAGTATCTCACAAGTATTTGTAATAAAAATCTACAAAAAAAAAGCCAATTAATAAACTCAAGCCCACTAGTGCAAAAATAAGCTTTTACGTCACCTAATTTACGTCGGAAACACGTAAACCCGACGTTATAAAAATGCAGTGACATGTAGCGTAATTTTGTTGAATTATTTACGTTGGCCCTAATTGGGTCCGGCGTAAATTTTAACATCTACGTCAGTTAAGCATTGTGCCCGACGTACATGTTAAAATTTACGTTGGACCCAATTAGGGCCGACGTAAATAATCCCCAGAACATGTTAAAAGGTGAGCGCGCACTAGCTAAATTTGAAAATGTTCATTGTTTTTCCTTCTCCCGCACCTCCTCCTCCTTCTTCTATTTTTCTTCCTTCTCCCACGCCTCCTCCTTCATGGCGTTCATCTGCACCTTCTTCTGTTTCTTCTTCGCGTGGTCATGGGCTTTTCTGGGAGGTTCTATGAGGTAGCATCTTCCATCAAGTTTCTGTTTTCTGGGATGTTTTTTGTCGTAATAATGTTTGTGTTGCATTTCGAGTTTTTGAAGCTGTAGAAGGAGAAGGAAGTGACCAAGTCCGGGTTTGCAGAACGCACTCCTGGGTCTATCAAGCAGAACGGGCCATTCTGCTTGGAGAACGGGCCGTTCTACTTGGAGAATGGCCCGTCCTCCATGAAGGCCCGTACTCCATGAAGAACGGGACGTTCTCCAAGCAGAACGGCCCGTTCTGCTGCACTTGTTTTTTTTTTTTTAATAAAAATTTTGTATGACTTTTTACGTCGGACCTTGGAATGTCCGACGTAAATTTACGTCGGTTTTTGGGCCCCGACGTAAATTTACGTCAGTTTTTGCGCCCCAACGTAAATTTACGTCTCCCGCTTCTACGTCGGAGGCTTTTCTGACGTAAAAACCCCTAAAATAACTGACGTAAAATGTGTATTGTGTATTAGTGGCCTTAATGTTACACCTATTAGAGCAATACAGAACAATATATATATATATATATATATAAAGAGAGTTCAAATGTCACTGATATAACTTTTACTAAGTATTACACCACTTAATAACTTTATATTAAATGTGAATATAAGTTCAACCGTTAGATTGAAAATTCTTTTCTCTTAGATTATATATACCAAAATTTATATTAATCCAAGATGATTTGATATTTCATTCTTATAAAAAAAAATTAATATAATATATACATTTTAAAATATAATAAAATATGAACACTTTGATTACCTTCAAGTTGTTTAATTTTAACAAAATTTGATACAAAATTCATATTTAATATAAAGTTATTAAATGTATAATACTTAGTAAAAGTTACATCGGTATCATTTGAATCTTCCTCTCTCTCTTTATTTATATATATATATATATATATAAAGGAAAGGGCTATTGCCTCAACTCCAAGATCACTCTTCTAGATTTGGATACATGTCATATGTACAATAACTAGTACGCCAGAAAAATAATAAAAGAAAAAAGGAGTGAGATACATCATTCATCACACTCTAAGTGTAATATATGAGAAGCAAATAGAACACAACATATACACACAAGTGACATGTAGTTATGTATAATGCTCTTAAAAATCTAATAAATACAAGTTGCAAATGTAGTGTCATGTTCGTTTAACTCTACTCGTTATCTATGTGGTACCAATTCTAACTCTAGAAGTAGTCTAGTTAGGAGCCCATGCTTATCCATAAAGAGCCATCATCATCATAACAATGCCATTGACTATTGCCACACCACATTAGAATGATATCTTCTAATGACTAGTTAGAGTTACCCAATTTTTGAAGCACACTCTGACTCCATAAGATCAACATATATAAATCATTGGGATTTTTACACCAAGTATAATCAAACTCAAAGTTAAGGCTAAAACCCTTTAGGAACCTTCACCATCAAAATTCATAAGTACTTTTCACCAAAAATATCTCAAATATAATGATGCATGTGTCATACATATCAATGCACACATGGGTCTCTCTAAACTTCTCTTTACAACATAAGTCACACTCTCGTCTTTCACAAGTTGGGCTCCTCATCAACGATATACCACTATTCACAATGATATAATGTTGCATCACACATATTATAACATAAAATTATGTTTGTTCACTTGAGCGTTTATTCGTGTGTGTACGTGTATATGTGCGTGTTTGTGCATATGTGTGTGCGCGTTTAAGCAAGTAGGCATGTGTGCGCGCAAGAAAGCAGGCACGCATGCATGCGTGTGTTTGCGTGTACGTGAGTATATGCGTGCATGTGCATGTCTTGTTAATTCATTTACAAAATATTCAATATTTATGCATAAAATTTTATAAGTTTATATTTGATATAATATCAATGATATAAAATAATTTTTCACTAATATTAAAATTTATAAATATAATTTATATATAAAAAAATTCTCAACTAAATAGTAAATTTTACAATAAAATTATTTAATAAATTAAAAATCATTTACATATTTTAAAAGCATAATATAAATGAGTTTGTCCTTTCTTTATAGAGATGTAGTTTTATTTTTTTTATTGTGATTTAAATATTTTATAAATCTTTCTGATAGTTTATGAAAAAATATTAAATAAAATAAATATCTTTGACATCTTAAAAATATAAAATATATTTATTTTTATTTGACACAAAAGCATATTTATAAAATAATATTAAATTTAAAAATGTTTTTAATCCCCTTAAAATGAATAGCTTTTAATTTTGGTTTCGGTAATTTTTAATTTTTTTCTCTTTAAAATTTGTAAATATTTTTTTTTGTCCTTATAAAATATTTTTATCCTTATAAAATATATATTTTTATTTTTATTCTTTTAAAATTTAAAATAATTATTTTTATTTAATAATAATTTTAATGTATATAAATAATATTTATTTTAAAGATCTATAAATTTATTAGAGATGTTAATTGTTACACAATAACTTAGTGTCACTAATAGATTTTAATAACATTTGATATGATCATATTTTTGAAAAAAATAAATAATTAAAAATAATTATATAATTATGAAAATTAAAAATAATAATTCTAAATTTCAGAAAAATAAAATGCAAAATAAAAAGTTCAGAAACTAAAATTTAAACATAATCCATTTTAGGATGACTAAAGATTTATAAAAGAATTTATGATTACAGTTAACTGGGATGTTTACGGACACTGTAATGTAACAATTGGTGAGGTTAATATGTTTGTATTTGCGAAGACTTGTGTGGAGAAAAGCTGGCAGTAATCATTTAAGTCGAATACAGAGCGGAATGTGACGTAGAAAAGATGAATGGCCAATTGTAAAATAAATCGTGGACAATTATTTATTTGCGTCAAAGATGTATAGTACCTGATTGTGATCTTTTCTCTTTATCCTCTTTTTCTGCACAAGGTGATGATGTCATTTAGCAATGTTGTGTAGAGACTTTAATTAATTCAGATCAGGAAGTTTATGGCTTTCTTTTGCTAATTTATACTTTAATGTATAGTAAAACAATAGAAATACGAAATATTTAGCAAAAGATAGTTGTTATACCCCTAAATGAACTAGTATACTTTTTTATTTTTTTTTTGTTTTTTGAGTTTTTATTGTCGCGATAACAGTGATTAATCTTCTCGTATAGTATTATAACTCCTGGTAATGAAATTTTGGTTTTATATGATATGCTTATTTAACACTTAAATCATAATTTTTACAATTAATTATATTTCTTTAGACATTATTATTTTGGATAGGGTAGTGTCTTGTGCTTTAATTTCTTTCTTATTCATAATGCAGTATTTTTACTCTCTTGGATTTCTCAAATTAATATTATATTCAGTAGTTATATATATATATATATATATGTATATATATATATATAACTGCTAGCTAATTTCGTATGTGAAACTTACTATTTAATTGATTTGATCCAACACTAGTTCGATACAATTTTCTTCGAGTAGAAACTTCTTTGGACACCTACATATCACATGTGTGTATATATACAAATAGGGAATCGGATAAATTTTCTCATACTTAATCATGAAACAAAAGGTGATGCTGGGGAAAAGAAATATTCCATCGAGGTCTTCCTGATTTTTATATGAGCACAACTTGTCACATGATTGTCTATTTTATAAACCAATTGGTAAAGAAATGATTACTGTATAATGCATCTAGTCTTGGTGATAACTTTCCAACTGAAAGATAAAGAAAAGCAAGAATGAGTTCTTGTTGCTTTGCTTTACAGTCAACAGCATCAAATGTTGAGAACAAAATCAAGAAAGAACAAGGTTCTTTTCATCCAAGATCTATTCTTCAAAATTACCGTATAGGCCAATTATGGTGAAAAAAGGATGAATTCTAATATGTCCCAAATCTAGTAAATACTATTCATAGTAAAAGAAGAGACATAGACTGATAAAAAATTTCAACAATTCAATGTGTATCCACAAAGAAAGAGGCTTTTATTTTACTATTATTGTTTTATACAATGCCAACATTTGTCATATTTTTTTCCTATACATTTTAATCAATTCACTCCATCACTAAACAAAAAATAGCAAAATAAAAATACCTATTATAAACTTTTCCGGACGTGGTATCAACCATCAGATTGCACTATTGCAGAAATTAGGAAGATAAAACCTCAACTTTATAGCTTTTTCTTCTTTATTACTAGTCTGTCAGGATATGTGACTACAAAAAATATTTCTAAGAAAGAAAAATAGAAAAAAAAATTAAAATCTTCATAAATTATTAGCTCATGCATAAATTAAAAATAAATTTTGCAGAAGTTAATATAAAAAAACTTCTACAAATTAACTTATTAAATTATGCATAAACTAATTTTAGTTTACAAAGAACCTTATTTCATTTTTCTTCCCTATTTTTCTCTTATAAAAGTATTTTTTTTTTTGGAGAAATTTATCCTATCACCATCAGACTTGTAACTTGTAAACTACACAATCTCTTCTGCTAGTAATTTTCCCAGAAAAATTGCTCTTCAATCCGGAATCCACTATCAAGTGCACATAAATGCCAATTAGAAGAAGAATAGGAGAAAAGTGCAGTGTTTCCATCAGGGAAAAGATCTGGTAGGTCAAACAGTGTGTCATCATCTGCAGTAGAGAGAGAACTTGAAGAATCTTGAGTAGTGTCCATGGATGAAAGAGTTGAAGATGAGGCTTGTTCAGCTTGAACATGCCCTCCTTCAGTACTGTCCATGCATATATTAGAAGATGAAGCCTGCTGGTTTTGTTCATCTTTGTCAACATGATCAAAGAAAGTGGTTGCTGCTTTTGCTGCTGCAGCTTGAATATCCTTGGGAGATGTGGTGATAGGCCTTGGAAGATCATGAGCCAAATTGGGGAAATTGAGGTAAGCCGAATGACCCTTGATGGCTAAAGCTGCAACATCATGTGCTCTAGCAGCCATTTCAGCAGTAGGGTATGTTCCAAGCCATATTCTTGACTTCTTCCTTGGCTCACGGATCTCAGACACCCATTTGCCCCATGCCCTCATTCTAACACCTCTGTAACTAGGGTGGTCTTTGTTCTCATTGTGATCATTTCTTTGTCTTTTTTTGCTATTTGGGGTGTTTTGGTTTTGAGCTGATGTTGAATCATCTGGGGGATCCTGCTTGGTGCAAGAGTTTGAGGTTGAGGTAGAAGATGTTGGTGATGATGATGTTGAAGAGGTGGTGGTGGAGGAGAATGTGGCAACAAAGTTTTCACTAGCATTACTTTCCATGTGGATATGTTTCCCAAGGAAGAGGGGGTGGATGGGTTTGATTTAGAGAGGCAGAGAATGAGTGAGTGGAGGGCACATAAAAATAGAGCTATTTGTCTTTTATGATTCCCCCAAAAAGGAATTGAATTTATACAAAGAGGAAAGAAAAAGAAGAAGCAAATTTAATAAAGAAAAGAAAAAGAAAGCCAAAGGACCAGAAAAAAATTAAAAAAGAAAAGAAAAGAAAAAGGAATATAAAGCAGCATGGGGTCCAGAAGAATGCTACAGTTCAGCTACTTGGTTGCCCACGTTGAAATTGAAGTACTAAGTAGTGTAATCTTATATGCTAAAGTACCTTATAAGTGTCTATATAGCTTACATCTATTCTCATCTCCTGTTTCACGTGTCTCCACAGTTTGTCCTACCTAGCTTGCTGAGTTTTAATCAACATTTTTGTAATGATTAATTTTTGTTGAAAATTTTAATCAATAATTTTAGTAGATTTTTTTCAATTGTATATATTTTTTATTTATAAAACTCAAAACCTACACATTATTTAAAAATGTCAAATTTAATATCATTTAAATCAAGTATTTGAGTTCATTCGAGTGGGGTATGCGTTGTTTTGTTAACATGATATTCACATGAATTCTCTACAGTGATCCTTCCGATTTATCATTATTTTGTCCGGTACAGATATTATACATTGAATAGTCACACTCTTTAGAGTTTAGTCTCTTTCAAATATAAATTCCGTACGTCTACGGGTTTTTTCGTGGCTATGTATCTAAAGTTTGGTATAGGAGAGGAGAAAAACGAAAAATACATAAAATAAAAATAATGAGTGATTCTTTTTTTTCTTTTTTGGTTCCAATTTGTAGTGAGTGGTGATGTAATAAGAAAATATGTGATTATAAAAGAAATATAAAAAGAAGAAGATGTGAATAAGTCATAAACTCATAATTATAAAATTTATAGCAAGTTATTAATTTAACATAAAGTGTCAATGCTTCCTGAAAATCAGAATTAATTATAACATCTTGTTGGTCTGTACTCTTCAACTTGATTTCATTATACATATTAATTAAACTGATCTGTCCTTGGAGATTTTTCCAACTCCGAAATTTGGTATTTTAATGTGTAAACTATTTTTCTCCAGTTGTAATCTGAAGCCAGAGCCAATGGAATAAGGACTATTGTCATAATCTTTGGCGGAACTTCTGTCAAGGAGGTTGAATGACAATTTTTTCTCAAATTAATTATCAATTTAAGCAACAGACATATGACCAGGACCATTCAACCTTCTCTGCTTATTAAATTAACTATCTAAAATGTGCTATTTACAAAAATATTAATATGTATACAGCTGACTTATGGGATTATTGTACTAATTTATAACTTTTTTTTATGCATAAATTTTAACTGTTACTAAAACCTAAATTTCACATACACATGTTTAGATAATTTAAAAAAAAAATACTTTAAAAAATAAAAGGTAAAATAATTTTATGGAGAATTTTATTTTATATTTTATTTTTGTTTTATTTTTATAAGGGCTGGTGAAAAAGTTTATTACCACATCTAGATTAAAATATTTTTATATTGGTCGATGACCTAGTATAGAGGTTGAAACTTAGATATTTTTTTCTTGGGGTATACATTGTATATTTACTAAACTTCATCACAAAATAAGGTTAACATATTCTGCGGTGCACGTGCTTATCGGCCAGTATTGATGTACAAATATTTTTCTGCCAAAAGAGTTAAATTGTGCGGCCACGTTTCCTTTTTTTTTTTTTTTTTTTTTTATTACAATTCTTAGTTTCTCTCTCTCTGCATGTTACTCAAACTTATTGCATGAATAGCTACGGGGCGTAAAGTTTAACAAAGAGACAAAAGCAATGATATATAAACGAGTCCATGTGAAATGAATGGAAAAGAAAGAAAGAGGAATTCTAATGCTTGACAAAAAATAAATAATTAATGGTATGATTTTTTATTATTATATTTTTTATGTAGTAACCGATTTATTTTAATGGTTTAATTATTCATTTGATCTATATAATTGTACAAATTTTACTTTTTAATCTTTATATATTTTAGTTTTTATACAAGTGTTATCAATTCTCTTTTAGTTCATGTAAAAAAAAAATTTAATGGCTTTAACAATGGATAATGTGTCAATTACATGGTGTTAACATAAGAGTGACATGTGTTGCACTTTATGTTTGTGTTCCTATACTTGTACTATACATAGATTTTGAGCCCTATCGTAATCCAAAAAATGTTAATCTTACGACTAATGGTTTGGACTACCATTTTGAAAAATTTTATTAATTAAAGAATGCTCAAGCATCAGACTAATCCTCAAATAATGGTTTTGAAAAATGAGTTCATGTAGTTGCCACCAATGTTTTATTCAAAACATTGGAAAAAGAAAAGATTTTGAAATTAAAATAAAGGTCTTCATAGCCAAAATTGAGTTTGAGGGTTGGTTACGTATAGGGAAGGTATTAGATACTCATACAATATCCTAAATTGGTACCCTATGATGAAATTAACATAATAAAAAATAATATTTTTGAATATCTTATCCTTTTTTATAATTTAATATTATTTACATGACGAAAAATACATATTATCTACATGATTATTTATTGGTATATAATAATTATAAATAAAATGATAAATAAAGAAATAAAATAATAAATAGAATAATAAATAAAATAAGTAAAAAGAATAAATAAAAGAAAAAATTTAGAACCTCTGAAGCAAGCCTTTTATAAGGGAATTTTCTCAAATGCATGCGGGGCACATTTTGGCAGCCATTCGCTCTATAAAAACCTCATTATCACTCAAAGGTTTATATAGAGAGGGGGGAAGCTATGCAGCTTTTTCTCCCTCAATCCCTTGGCCAGAGGGTTTCTTATATAGCCAACTAAGAGACAGAAGCATAAGAGAGTTATCCGACGTGAGACTAAATTTTATAAAAACACAATCTTTTCCTAGACACCATGCAGGACCTTTAGAGAACTCGTTAACCGTCGGATTGTGCTGGTTTTTTTATGGTATTGTCACAATATATTGATCTTCAATTTCAATGGTTGGATAGTTGAAACTAGATCTGTAGTGAGAGATACTATCATAACAAAAACGTTGTCTGGTAAAAGATTCATATTTATCAACTACAATGCGAGGCCTCTAGAGAAATTATTAACTGTTGGATCATGCTAAAAATTTGATGATATCTTCTTAATATATTAACAGAACAAAATTAGGTATTTAGCGAGAAATATTAACAGAACAAAAATGCTTCCCAATGCAAAATTTTTTTGAAAAGGGGAACAGGTCGTTCCGGTTTCGGAATGGTCCGTTCCAATTTGCCCACAGACCGTTCCGCGCCCCAGATCAATTTTTTTAATATTTTTTTGGGCCTTCCAGAGCCATCTTGGTCCGTTTAGGTGCTCTACCAACAACCATTCTATGACGGGTGTTGACTTATCTGTTATAGAAAGTTCACATTCTATGACGAGTAAGACATTATCCACCACAGGATATCCTGTTATCAGGTCACAAGAGGGTGCAAACTCATTTGTGCTCTCTATTGTTCTTCTTCTTTCTCTTTGTGAAAACTCTACAATTGTTCTAGTGACTTAGTGTGCACATCCTCCAAGCGATTCCGATGACCACCATGAGTAAAATGCTTCGATAACCAAGGGGAAGTGTTCTCCTTCGACTTTGACAATAGTTTGCTTCGTGTGAGCTCCTACAAGGTATGAATGATCTTCTCCTTAAGTTGGTTGGTTTTTAGGGTTAGGGGTTTTGATAATGTGAATGCTTATCTTCCATTTGTTGTCCCTTCGTTCAAGTGCGATGTCCTCTTTAACTTTTTTTATTTTTATTCTTTTAATTCTTTTAATAAGAATAAAAATATATTTTAGTTAAGTAGTATACGTGGTGACAAGAGTTGGATATTGAAATATTCTGGCGGTTTAAAATTGGCAAAATTTAATTATTTTGTGGCCGTTAAAATAACCGCTAGAATTATAACATTTTGTAGCGGTTTATTAAAATTGCTGAAAAAAAACCGCCACTAATTAACTAATTTTTTGTAGTGACCCCTAGAAGATTATAGATATATGATATGTTGTAGGTGAAGGTTGTTGATGTTAGAGAGCATGATCCTCGATTCCTTATGCCCACTATAAAGGTTCAAACAATGGGACAAGCCCTAGGTTGCTTTATCTTATGATCATTCGAGATAATTAGGGCCAATGTGACTAAAGTAATCAATGTTTCAATATATTACTTTCTAATGATGTCCTTAATTAATTGTGCTTTACTAATTTAATTGTATATAATGCTTAGATACCTTTTGAAAAGAGAAAAGTTATTGTTGCTACACGTGTAACAACTTTTGAGCTTTCTCCAATCCATCAATTGCCCTTGGAAGCTATTGATCTTGGGAGGCATGATGTATAGATAGATATGCCTCCTATGGTCAATGGTAGGGACATGTCTATCCCTTTCTTTATTTGCCAACGTGATGCCATGGACATAGTTTCTAGGGATGACCTCATTTCCATATCAATGATGCAATTATATTTAGGTGAGTATTATTTATAATTGTTAAATCAAAAGAAAATCTTGTGTTAAGACAAAAGACAATCTTAATTAAATCCCTCAAGTTTTAATGATAACAAAAAAAATATTTTCTTTTAAGCAAAGTCAAAAATCCTCAAAGATATACTATATCATAGGAAATGTGGAAGATATATATCATCTATAAGATGAAGAAAACCAAACGAAAGCACTACTACAAAAGATGTATTTTACGTATGTTATTTCAGGCTTTTTACATTGTAAAATAGTCCGACGTAAATGCGGGAGACATAAATTTATGTCGGTTGAGTTAACCGACCTAAATTTATGTCGAACATCGCCAAGGACCAACGTAAAATTATTGCCAGCAAGAAAATCTCCACCTCCACCTCCTCTATTCTGGACGTGTATTCGTCAGAAAACATGGATCCTAAACTCAGAAGTTTGATCCAAAACTCATTCACATATATACTAACCTCAAATCGTCTAAAACCTAGAAAATGTCCAATCCAATTGGTCAGAAAGATCTGGAATCGCCCATGGATGTCGAGAAGCCCTTCACCAAAAATCGCCGTGACAGAAAACGCCCACA